TGCTGAATTCCAATATCTTCGACGGGTGCTTAAAGCGAATGGCTACCCGCGTAACTTCGTCAGCCAGTGCCTGCGCGAACGAGACGAGTGACAAAACCGTACCAACCCCAAATTCTGGCGAGATCTCTCGTACGTAAAGAAGTTGGCGGGAAGGATGAAAACATTTTCCAGGCGAAGTCGAACAGAAGGATCCCTGTGTGTTTGCCTCAAAATTGTTTGTTGTCTTACCGCTAATAAGACTAGACTATGGCGGAGCTCCTAAAATCTTGATGGCTCCATCTCTGTTTCCGCATTTCTTGAAACATATCGAGTCGATTTCTCGATAAGCTGGGGATCGCCTCATTAAGTAGCTTTTGGCGGGAATCGTGTCGGAACCCAGACTTTCTCAATTTGTGGTTGCTGGACGGCTTTGTTCGTCTGCTAAAAGCTTTATGTCGCATAGTCCCGACACATTTTGTCAGGGAATCAACACCAACCTATCTGCCCCGCTATTCATCACTGTCAGCATGTCCTGGAAACTAGGAAGTTAGTCATGTTTGCCACCCACATGCCTGACAGTCCTGTCTTAAATATGGACTATTCGTCTGTGAGATTGCTCATCTCAACTTAATTTCCCAGCTGTCCCGTGCCATCACCCATGCTGGAAATAGAAAATGAAATTGGCACCGGAGTCTATGTCATGACCCATCTAGTCAATGGAGTGTTACAGATATTCCGACATAGAGAAACCTCCCTATCTGATGAGTTCGGTCGCGTAATGGATAGTGTCGTCTCACTCACCAGAGCGCCCGGGTTCAAACTTAGCATTACCATTTTAGCGACATCTATAACATGGTGTCCAAGTAAAAATGGTCCCTATTATCATTATCGGTGAGGTTTGGTCCTGCAGTCCCACTCGAGGGATGTACTGTGGCCAACCTACTGAGTCACATTTGTGTAGATGTGGTAATGTCGAAATTGCATATTTCATTCTTTTTCATTGGAACGACCTCACCCACTGTTTATGAACACCTAAAGGCCAGTCGGACTAGTGCAACCGCAGCCAAGACGGCCATTCTACCATCGTTTGTGTTTTTTGTCAGTAAGACGTCCCTATTATTGATCGTCAAATGCCGTGCGACCTCCTGCGTGGGCTGTGTAACCTTCAGTTTCAAGACAAACACAAATGCCCCTGTTCGCCCTGAAATCAGGACAGATCGGCAAACGCTATTCCAGCGTGAGTAAAGAGGTACTTGTTTCAGTATATGACTGAGATTTGAAAACAAGTAAAAATAAGTTTGGAATATCTGTGTGCGTTTTTTTCGCCTCTCTAACTATTCGGTTTCCAGACTAAAAAAAGACTTTTTTGAATGTCTGATTTTATTCCATTATAGTCTGGGGCGAAAACCGCATGCTTTTATGACGTCAACGACGGTTATTTACACATTATAGGGACGTTCTGTAAAATCTCCAAAACAAAAACAGCCTGGCAGTTAGAATTAACGATTTCTGTTCTCTGTACGTCCAAGCATTATTCCGTCACTAAGTGAACTCACGCACAAATGATGCACCAAATTCTTTGTTTTGATGGTTTTACAGCTTTTTGGCGGGTGAGAAATGAAATCTCGTGTGCCCTTGAATCTTTGAGTGGGGTCTATTAAGAATTTGAGATGTTTACCGAAATAAAGGTGCAAAAGTACGTCCTAACGCCCGTTTCATGCCTCTGAATTGCAAAAAGCTTTCAGTTAACATATGCCAAGATTCAGAGAAATCTGATGGCATATTCCAGAAGTACTTCATGTACAAATCAGGACATTGTGTGTCGAACGAAAACCTTTAATATCCTGATAAGGCCAGGTGAAGGGGCTCTAAGAATATGGCAGTGGGCCTATTCGTGTGTTGGCATTCATCAATTCATTCATCCGACGGGCAACAGAGGCACGTTTCAGGTGAACTGCGTCACGTTCTTTTCAACATACTTCCATTCAAAAACAGAGACCCTTCTTCCCTTTACCAACTGTATTAAGTCTGTACTAGTACCATGGTCATCAGTGGATGGGGCCGGTAACCTGGCGGTTAACACAGTACTAATTGTTGATACAAGTGAAAATGCCAGTCCCGGGAGGCAACTGTAAGGAAGGAGAATTGTTCCAGCGATCGAGTCTACTTCTCTTCGACAGCACAAATAAACATTATATCAAAGGTGAATGTCACAAAATACTCCCCGAATTATGCCGTATTTGTGCTAGGTATGTTAGGCCCGCAATCCTTTTTCATTAACACACCTAAGCTATCCTAGGCAATTGGAATGTCGAATTGAACACCACCAGCCGGTTAATGGAAGAATATTTCCTAGAAAGAGCTGTCCAAAAGCCAGGACGCTTCACTTTCGTCGGCGTTAGCCTTCCACTTCGGAATTAAGCTAGTGGGTGAGGACAAAAATCACGGCTTTAAAGCACTTGCTCTAGCAGAGGCCAGACTTTCCACTGGTAGATTGCTCACGGTTTTGATTCCGATCAATCTGTGCCCTGCTGATTTACCAGAGATAAGCTGAATATTACAACAGTAGACGGCCTATCTCGTAAAAAATGTCAGCCGAAATTCCGGAGTGTGCCCTCGACTCGAAAACGGCTAATTAGGCGGGGTTGTAATCACGACCATCATGAAAGCATAATCGGAAGATATTTCAACCACGCCAGGGTATTGGCTTTTGGGAGGCATCTTTCCGGCCGCCCACGAAAACCATATTCGATAAAAAAATGACAACTTTAGCTCTAAGAATTTCTTTCCACTGATTTTCGACAGGCTTATTAATTCAAATGTATTTCAGGGAAAACACGCACGGAAATGCTCCTATAAACATTTGGTAGACAATCACTTCTTCAAATTTCATACCGGACACTACAAGCAACATGCACACAGTCGGTAAGCAGTCATCAACATGACGCCTGTGAAAGTAATCTTCAGCCGAAAGCAAGCTTCTATCTTACCTAGCCACAAAAGGCGCATTGAACAAGAGACCTGGCGACCCACCCCTAAATGATTGCATACTACCGAATGTGTTGCTAATAGAAACTGTACAGTTCAAGCACAAGAAGTCGGAGTAGACGTGGTCGTTTTCTTCATCTAAAAACGCTGGAAAAGTCGACAGTAGTTTGTTCCTCTCCTTGAGTACGCCTTCGTCGACAGTCTTCAGGGCCACCAGGCTGGCAGCAAAGCACCATTAACTACACACGTGGAACGATGGCCGCCGACCCAAACATATCTAGGAGCAGGTTTTCTAGTTGCTCTAGGTGTATCTTATGGTTCTTAAACACGCTCGTTACACTTCAGAAATTACCCGACTAACTGACAGATAGCCAGACAGTTGGTCAGAAGCCAGATGCCTAACTTCAGTCGTCACAACAATGTAGGCCAAATTTGATATAATTCCGGCATATACAATTTTCAAGAATTCCTGAAAGCTGTATTGAAATCATCGTATACCACTATTTCAATTCAACCTTGAGTCGGCTAGTCCGCCAACGCCACAGAAAGCACCCACTTCCTTTGGATATAAAGAAAACTCCCAGATCATTCGTTGTGTTCAATCTTGACTCTCTCTCTCTCATATCGAACATACTCTTCCGCAACATACCTCATCTTCAGCATCGCGTCCCGCGGCAGCACGAACCACAACGGTCTCACATCAGGTTCTTTGATGGTAATTTTGAATTAGACATGACGGCTTCCCTTAGCGGCGAAAAGGCCATGCTGCTTGACCGCGGCAAACTAACTGCAGCACATCAGCCGGGAGGAGTAGATACTGGTTCATTACCAACACTGCTTTGACCCGTGTTCGGAAGAAAGCCTTGGGGGACCACCTCCCTTAGCAAAGTACAACTGCGGGCATGACAGAGATGCCCGCAGTCTACTTCCTTTCTCCCTGAGTTTCACTGGCAAAACATCACCGAATGCGCCAATTTACAGTAAAAAGAGGTGCGAAAAAAAACGAGCAAATGTGACCCACTGCGAGAAGTCAGAAAGAAGAGTAGGAATGTTACATTTGCTGCAATTATACGCATAACAAAAAAATAAGATTTGCAGTGCGTTAGTCAGAGATGGGCCGCTTGTACCAGAATCTGGCCCGATTGTCATCACTACAGGATAAAAAGGCAGCAGTGGTGGGAGAGTGAACAAAACATCGTATCGGTCCATTGTGGTCTAAAGAGACAAAATAATGATGAGTGGCAGGCAATATAGGGGATATAGCATATAGTTCATTCCTGCCACTACGGAAAAGCAGCGGATGAGGTGCAATTTGCAGAAAGTGGTCGTGGCTGCTGCATAGATCTAGTTGCACTGGTGGTTTACCAACACGTATTCAGAAAGATATTCTGTAAAATGTGGTCTAGGCTCCACAGTGTTCCAGCCGATACCCACCAAAACATTTAGGAACTTCATGGACACCAGTTGAAAAGTCACAAACGGACCACTAGAACGTCGGAGAAACTGACCCTTACTTTACCTTTAAGTTGGCAATAGAGATGTCAGTACCATGAAAGGGAAACTGGTTGGAACTCACAGAAAAAATCAGGAGAGAACTCACTTAGTGACAATAAACGCTGCCTGTCAGCATTTCGCGAATCCCAGCAGCAGAGGCTCTTTGTGGCTTCGTCCGGAAAGAGAACTAAAAGGACAACAGAAGAAGTTGCGTTCAGCAGTCTTCTCACAAATTTTGCTGAGGCGGCGAAACCAAGGGAACAGTTCAAAACAGACACGATCTACACGGCTCAAAAGTCACTCAACGTGATGCGCACGTCAAGGCAGGGCCTGCAGAAGAGGCAATTGGTACTAATAGGCGGACTTGTTGAAATTTAAATACTGGTGACGAAAACGAGAGGTCAGTTGGAACAGTATTCCGGTGTTTGTTGACGAGCGTCCAGATGGCAGTTCTTTCAACCATAACACAATTCAAGTTTAAAGTGTTGAGAAAGTGAGAAAGAAACTTGGAAGATATTTCGAAGGACTTGACCCTACTTGTTCACTTTAAACAGACCGCAGTTGTTGACATTAACAAAGATAAAATTCTTGGAAGTATAACATAGAAGGTTTCTTAAAAGCTTTGAATTGCACGGGCATCAACAGTCGTGATACAATTTCTCCTCTGGGAAAGAGGGCTTCTAAGGTTCCTTCATTGCGGAAGAAACTGATACGACAAAAGGCATAACCCAGAAATTGGGCTCTCATTTCCCCCTTACGGATCAACGCAAATTCGGCAAACGGAAGTAACAGCGACCTAGTCGGAGAGTGCAAGGTACAAGTTCCAGACCAGATAAAGTAAATTTTCCATGCGATAAAAGGACATTATCATCAGCCATGCAGATAATAAGAAACCTTCAGTGCAGACCACGCTTTGATACAGTCAGAGCTGTTTGGACTATAAATGTGATCACAAATATACTCAGCAAAAATGAAGAGACTGGTGCACAGGCAGGCTGCGGAATAAATAACAACGAGATCCAGTTAAGAAACCAGAGAATTAAGAAGAGAGGCCAACTTACCATAATCTTCAGTGTGATTGAAAGCGGCCATTGAGCGGTGGGTCTGGAGGCCTACAGTACCGGCGCCGGTGTAACTAATTAGACACCGGCTGGTCGACAGCTCCCAGAGCTTTACGATGGAGTCCTTGCCGGAGGTCAGTACATACTAGATTGCGTGTGTGTGCGAACAGAATAAATGCTCAAATAAGCAAACATTGCATCTAAGGAAAACTAAAGCGCAGATAAGGAAGTAACGGCTAAAGTTCAAACTATCCTGCGTTTTAGGAAAAGTGGGGGGTTAATGCATGCAATCACTCCATGATCCTAATAATTGAGTGACCATCGATAGATTACAAACCATACGTGGCTACTGAAGTTGTTCTAGTAGCTATTCCGTTTTACTTAAAAATTCAATTTTGAATGAAATCTTGGTCTGCTGGTATCTCCTGCTCACCTTTGAATTCCGCGAAAACACAGCAGAACAGACAGGAGCGCCATCATGGGCGGACTCGAAGGTAGAAACACAACGACCTGAGACGCCATCCCAGAGCTTGAAACTGCCATCTACACTGGAAGTAACAAAGTAGTTGGCGTTTGGCGCCCACCGCGCCATCGTGACAGCTCCATTATGCTGATCCTCGGGTACCGCAGACACGTAGCACTGGCAGGTATTCACGTTGTAAAGGCGTACTTAGGGGCGGTAAGAAGAGGAAAAGTTCAATCAAAGGAAAAAGAGACTCGGCAGTGCGAAAGAGGCCATCTACATAGCGCGATTCGAAAAAGGATATGAAAGTGGACACGCACCGACAAAACACATCTTTTAAATCTAAAGACATATTCGAATGCGTTAGCCAGAAGAAATGGATCCCGGAAAAACGAGGCCGGTTGGCAGTTGAGGCGGCTGGCTACTCAGCGCGCCCATAGGCAGCCGGTACCGAAAACAGTCGTAAGCAACGGTTAGTTAAGAAATGAACCGGCACCCGAATTTAACGAATGTGAATGAGCATACCGTTTGAGGCAAAGCTACAAGAACGTTAAGTGTACAGGTATTGCACGCCGGCCGATTTGTAAATTTCCGCGGAGCCCGGCGGCAGCACTGAGGCATAGTGAGAAGCGGACGGTCACTAAATAAGCTTATTCTGCTACCGCAGCCTTAGGGACTGGAGATCTATGCAAAAGCTGAATAGAGGAATACATAATACCGCCTTAAACAAGCTAATTAGCCTGAAATCGTTACAATCAACTCATGCTACGGAAACTGCTAAAAAACAACGCTTCCGGACCTTGGCCAATGAGTGGGTTGGTAAATAAAGGTTTTAGATCCTAGTCCTGAAAGCAATAGTGCGGTGCGGAGTGGCTGTTTCTTGCCTTCCCAAAACCTGTTTGTCAAATTACTTCACAACATTCCTGTTCATGTTAGATTCGCGGATCCCCGTCATGTGTGGCGTGCGTAGATGTGTCGTCCAACTTTGTTAGCCATCGTGTCCATACTGTTTCCGGTCGTCTTGACTTTATCTTGCTATTGGAATTGAGTGGGTGTAGAAAGAAAGAGGGGTGGGTGCAACACAAGTCTGTCTCGGTAAAATAAACACTCAAGTGCATGTCACTGCTGCGCTCACCTTGTGGGGACTGCAGTGGATTTGGATGCATACGACGGCGGGATTGTCAATATCTGCTGTTTTCCCAGTCATAACCCAACAAGTTTAAATTCATTTCTAAACATGACTGCCATCTTCGAGTCAAGATCCTGACATAGTTCCATCCACCCCAGTGCTCACAGTTTGATCGGACGCCCGACAGTTCGGCTGTCGTTATCCATGATGTCCATCGTGTGGCCCATATCAGGGTGGGCGGGGTGACTGCGGCTTGCACATGAATTAGTTTATGGTGATGGTGGAGGTGCGATGTGTCTACCACACTCCCTCCTCCCTTACCCCTATGAGCCTGGTGTCAAAAAGAGTCGAGAAGAAAGAAGACGGGATCGGGCGAAGGTGACTGGCGCGGCGTGAGCCCGCACCTAGACGTGTCACCGCACTCCCTGGTTCACGCACAAAGGATCAAGGTACAAGTCACGGCTTCTAGCGTACAGTGGTATATTCAGGAGCGTCAGATTGTTTTTATTGGGAACTGTGCGCTGAGGGTCGACCTCAGTCTTCCCTCTCTCCCCGTGCGCTAGTCGATAGTCTGGACCGACCTACTAACTGAAGCCGAGAAAGCGGAGTGGCTGACAGGGCAAGACTGCTCGGATCCTACATGTGTTAGATCGGCAGGGGTCATATGGAGAAGGAGGAGTGGAAGAGACCGATTTCCTCTTGTGTGGGAGGTGCCAATGTATCTGGATATTCAAACGATGCATCAACTTCCGGTTAGTCAACTTCAACAGACGGGATACTCGCAGACAAAGACTCACTGCCAATTTCCAGAAAGGGATGCAGCCGCCGAATGTCGTCAATTTGTCGGAAACTTTCGTCTACACTTCTGTTTATATGCCTTGCAAGTGTACGTTCGAGCTCCAGTTTGATTTTAAAGAGCAATAGCGGATGAGTCGGACATAGCGCATTCCTGGGTTGCATGGTCGCACTCGCCAACAAGGCATTTAAAGGATAACCACGGCCAGTTTAGACCGGAGAATCGATAGTCGTGTGGCTTATTGCGAGCTCCGCATAAATACAATGAGCCATGATTGCAAAATTAACCTTAGGATGTAAAAAAAAGATAAAGACTCAGCAAAGATGGGCATCATAGCTTGCGGACTAAACTGATCATCCAGAAGTGGGGTTTGGTAAGACTGACTGAGGACGGCAAAGAAGCCCGAAATGGCCATCCTAGTCTCCATCGTCTTCGTCAGTACTCCTTCCTAAAAATATATCCTGGTCAAAAGAAGAGGAGGCGTTCACCGGGAGGTGTATTTGAGGTCTGACGTTTCGGGTAGTCGTTTCTTCTACCCATCTTCAGATCATACGGCAGGGCAGCTGCAAGAAGCCTGGATGTCTACCGACTGTTCTGTCAACCGCCACATCAATTTACCTCCCCCTTATCTGGTTTTGCGGATATTCTTGACGGGGGACAGTCACGGCGCGGGACAATCGGGGCCGCCAATTATCACCGCGGCCGACGAAGATGGGCGGGATTCAGGTCACGGTGACATGCGGGTCGGATGCAGCCACACAGGCGGCATTGATGGGCCAGGCAATGAACAAAGTGCGCCATAAAAAGGAAAGCTGTGTGCACGACTGCTCAGTCTCTGAAGATGGGAAGAAACGACTACCCGAAACGTCAGACCTCAAATACACCTCTCCCGGTGAACGCCTCCTCTTCTTTTGATATGCCACCCGGGAATCGCATTTTCACCACTATTGATATATTCTGGTCTCTATCCGACTGCCCCTAAACACAACAAGACGAGTAGGCCCTGTAGCGAGATCGATAAGCACCCTATACCAGTTGGATCGGTGTGCGCCCATTCCTCAGTGGATATATATATTTCTCGGTACGTTTGAGATGTTAATTGCTTTTTTGCACATTTACTCGAGTTTTACGACAACACGGGGAACCAACGTCGAAAATTTACTAAATAAAGTTTTCTCCTTTTCCCAAAGAACATATTAGCCTTCAAATATATACATATTTCGAAGGAAATAGGTCCTTTGGTAAAGACAGCAAAGTTCGTTTCGTAAATTTTCGACTCTGATTCCTCAGGTGGTCCTCAGACGTGGAGTAAATGCGTGCCACAGTTAAATTTTAAACATGCCTAAACAACGATATTATCCTGTCACTCCTACCAGTCAGCCTTTACCAATGGTTGGTATCACGTCTTGACTGGCTATCGCCTCGTCCAGTTTTCTTTGATTTTGTATCTAATTTGATGTACCGATTGATACACGAGCTATAGGAACGTATGGCCTCTAAAAATTCTCTGCATTTTTTGAAGAAAAGACATTAATGATGCGAGCCTTCTTCCAGGCAAATTTAGGTCCAATTTTCAGCGTATGCAAGCAACTTGGGACAAGTGGACTCGTCTTTTTACTTGTATGCGTGTAGCGGCAGATCTTCCCGTTTGACCACAGTAAACTGCATTGCAGGTGTCGCACGGTACTTTACAAAGTTTGTTTTCTAAGTAGCTAACCCTATCCTTAGAGTGTACAAGATGGCTGCGAAGTGCAGTCGCATGTTTGTGAACCACGTGTATTCGGTGCTTCCTTAGGCTACGAGTGGGACTACGCCGCGAGTTTGGATTAGGGTTACTGTTAAGGCTGGGATACGGAGATAGGCGACTATCCCGGAGTTTGGCGCAAGGCCACCTATACTGTGTGGGGCGTTTCCATTGCAGTGCCCTGCCGCTGGGGGATAGGGGGAGGCAAATAAGTGATTCCCACGAAGCACCGATTGCACTGTTGCCCGAAAGATATAGAAAAACGTCTCCATGAACGCTGACTTACAGTATAAACCAGTAGCTGTAGCTTTCGAAGGTTAAGAACTTAGTAAAAACATCACTGGCACCAACACCAAGACCAATAATGACAATGCCCGTCCAACTCTGAAAATTTCAAATGCCCTTCCTCTCGCAGGCAACCTAGTGTCTACTAGCGGAAAAATTTAGGGAGTTTTGGTCGTCCAGGAACGTTCGAAATACAAAATGAACATCTTCACTCGTAACGAGGCTCACTGCCGCGAAGGAGGACAAGTGGTCAAAGTTGGGGCCGGATGCGCCTTTCTCTAAAGCGGCCTGCGTAAGGAGGGTCGATGCGATGACTTCGACACCGGACGCCACATCAATAAGTTGCTTTCCCACTGGGATACAGGGGTGTAAGTGACTTTGTGTTGATTAGAGTGACCGTCGGAAGACGATAAAACGTGTACTTAGCAGATTTACTTTGATATTGGAGGTTTAGCATGGACAATTATGGAAGAAAGTCGGTTAATCAGAAACGGTAGGCAACAGTCATAACCTCTACAGAAATGTGAAGAAATGGACAATCTACGTAACTCACAGGTCTTATGTTGTGTGCCCACGAGAAGGTAGTTGCCAGACGGATGAAAATGCAACGTTTTGATTGGTGAGGCTTCCTAAAAGCGGAGACAGTGTAACAAAGTATAAGAGGACAGAGGTGACTGCAGCAGATGACAAGAGGTAACTAGATCGACTCACGGGAATACTTCTTTGTGCCTTCTTAACGGAGGGGTTGGAAAAATCGAAAAACTTTATGGTGTAGTCCTTACTTCCGCTGACGAGGATTTGGAGAGAGGGGTCGGGATGAAAGTCCACGCAGGTGACTTCCTAAATTGGAGGGAAAAATGTATAGAACAGAAAAGGATATGACGTGCGTTAGGGGTTTACCGTGTGCACAAATAAAAAAGGAAATCAAACAGAAACCGTACCGCAGTATGATCATACAAGGTGCGAATTACTGGATGAGTTTCCATCTGTTGCTGCGGGGTCTCCTGATTGGCATGATCTGCCCCCGTAACACTTTTAGCAAGCATCCGTTCAACGTCAAGGATCTGGAAGAGTAGAAACAAGAGATATAAGTCTTTAGCCATGAAAAGGTCGGCTTATCGCCCTACGGACATTGTCTGTCTGAATAATATTGACATGTATTAACAAATCATGATGACCTTGTCACCGAAAAAATGACCTGGTGTGACAGGAACGTAAGGTAAATCTGAAAATTTGACAGACTAAAGCTAGAGGATGCATGGATGCCTAGTTACTGAAAAGAAGACTCTCGGGCGAACCGTAGACAAGTGTTAGAAGAAACTGACTACTGATCATGAAAAGGTAAAAGAAATTAAATGGGTATAACATAGCAAAGATAGTCGAATGTGATAAAAGGAGCCAAGGTTTCCCATGACAGACTCAGCTGAAGAATGTAGGAGCATTTCGAAGGAAACATTAAAGGACGCGCTCAAGCTAAGATAAGATCACCTTGATCGAAGAGTCGTGTGAACCTGTAGCCACCAACTGACCTAGAAGGGAAAGACGAGGGCTGAAGCAAGGTAATAAAACGATGGTTGGTAGATCCTAACTTATAAACGAAAATCCGTCCTCGAGAGAAAAACAACTTTCGAAAAGCATTACTGGCCATAAACGAGTGAATTTTCTAACGTACAGATGGTGCTAAACACATTGCAATAGTCGATTCTGGTGACTGGGCTATCTTTCCGAAACACATAAACTGGCCGCGGGCTACAACAGACCGAGGCATGATAACGTAAACGACTCCAAACAGTAAATTAACACCCACATATTGATGACGGACTCTATGCGTCCAAAGAAATAGTTCGGCAACTTGAAATATAAAACTTAAGTCGATAAGATGGCAGGAGTTAACCCCATGAAATTATTATTTTTTATAAGCGGGAAGGATTACTTCCACATAGAAGAAAACCCTCGTGTCTATTACGTAAATTATCGTCTCTTCTGTGGTTGACTGGTTGCGGGTGGTTCCTAACTTTTGCGTCCGGTCAGCATTTTTGAGGCAGCTTAGACAGCTTATTCACAGCCGTCGCCATGAGCTTGGCACTATTGCCCTAAGTCCACCTTCACCATCCAAATGGACGCACCGAAGAGGTGACCAGTTCAAAACCTGGCTCAAAATGCTCAGTCAAAGGTGAGGACAACTTATATGGTCGCCAAGCAGGAAACGAGGATAGGAACGCCCGCCTCCGTAATACAAGCGGACTTGCGCCAAACTCCAGGAAGGTCACCTCTTCTAATGTCATAACCCTAACACTAAGCCGAACCTTAAACACAATCCCGACCTTAACCTTAATTGCCCTGGAATTGAACACAAAGCCACCTAAATTACGAGCGCTCCTATTCCCACGTCCTACCGGAGAGGGGAAGAAGCATATAAGTAATCCTTAGTCAGTCAAAATATGGAGATCAGTGGTGAACCTACAGACTGTTAGAGCGTTGGGTGTACCCAAGCCTTGCCCTTGCGATTGTGGGTCCGAATCTCACCGAGGCTGTTGGGTTTTTGACAACTGGGTCTGACGAATTATTTAAATTTACCAAAATATCGTTTATCAGCCAAGAGTAGGTGTAGTAATAGCAAAAATAAGTCTACCGCGGTTTAACCGGCTAACTGCAGTCAAAAAGGACAACCGTTGATTGTATCTCACAACAGCTAAACCGAAATTTGCGAACAACTGCAACAACGAATTTTAATTACGCCCGACAGCTCGAAAGGAAAGAGTAAATTTCACAGCCCCGCCATGAAGTGGTTACAACCCAATATATAAAGGCCCTTGACTCGGAAGACTGCGAACTAAGGAGATAACTCAGCCATTACTGGGACTGAGTCAGGCTACAATGATTCCTTCTTAATGAGGTCATTGCGGAATTCTCACCCGTGCGAGATCCCTGCCGCTTTTTCAGTAGTTCTGCACAGTAGGGACGGGGTTGGGCGTGACGCGCAAAGATGGTCACCGGACCCGCACCCGCCTCCGATCGTCTTGGCATTGTTTTGCCATCGGAGTAAGGTGGGTGATGGAAGAGAGTGTGGTGGATGCTGCGCAATTCTATCTCAACATAAATCAATTCATGAGCAAGTCACCACTGTTGCGCACACGGCGTCGGAGACGCAGCGAACGTGGTCACTTGAAACGATAGGACTATCGTCATCTTCTTCGTGAGGTCTGATTTCTTCGCAAACAGGAACCCGAAGAAGCTATGAAATGCACAGCGAGGAGCACATTGTCAAGTCGGTCATTGGACCCGATCTAATCGCCGGTATTCTTGACATAGTTTTGCCCATATAGGATAACGCAAGGGCGGTCGAGTAAACCTTGTCTAGAAGCTGCGGCCCAGTGAAAGGGACGAAGTAGAGCTCTCAACTGATAACGCTGATAGACATTCCAGAAAAAAGGTCACAACAAGCAAACGCAAGTACACGACCGACGTTTTCTAAGATGCCCCCGTGTGCTCCACAGCAGGGTGAACACAGAGACGGTGACTTGCGCAGAATCTACCCCACTCCCTCCTCCTCCATCCAGGCCGGGCGTAATGACAGTCAAGAAGACTGGAGGCGGGAGAGGCCGCAGGTGACTGGCACGACGAAAACACGCACTTAAATGTACAATTACACGCCTGGTCCACAATGCACACTGGTAAGGATTTTACGCAAGAAAAAGGGAGCGGCTCAGATCCCAACTGACGTCACCAGCAAAGCCTTACAGTTAGAACATAAGAGGTGCGACCCGTCTACACGAAGTTGGCAAACGTAATAACAACGGATTTCGTAAACTGGTGACCTACCACCTCCTCACAATCCCTCGTTTCAAAAACCGTAAGGATTAAACGTGAATGCAGCTATGCCTTACGGTTCGGTGCTAGAACCTAAAACAACTAGGATCCACCTCTGCTGAAAATTCCCAACACACATAGTGATAACTTTGGCTGATTACATCGCGCAGATCGAAATAATATCAAGAAGACTGGTGCCACATGTAAATCTACTAATTGCGTACCCATCTCAACGTGCTTATACCATAAAATTCTTTTTAGTGCACAGAACCGAACAGCAGCAATAATACCGGCCATCACTGACCATGTGATTTCAACATGTCCTCACCATCAACCCACATTTCGGGACCGAGTTGGCTAGGGAGCCAACCTACCCATCCACCTTGATAACATAGCCTTTTATAAAAAGTAGTACAATCCACTAAACGTGTGAGGATAGAACAACCAATTATAGTTGTCGGTGGCTGCAGGAAATGCATGCGATGTGAGGCGGAACTTTTTGTGGCAAGGATAACATAAATGAATAATGAAGCGTCTTCGAAAAAACGGCAATACAGGGGAAACGACTACCTGTGCTGTTAAAAGCTGCAGCACGGCAAGCAGCCTTGTGTGCTGTGACGTAGCAGGTTTCGTATAGCGCTGCCTCTGGGGCCATTGTCGGGCCTGTGAGAACAAAAAATTGAAATTCCGATAAACGACGTATAACGGAAAAAGTGTACCAAGACAGCCCACGATACGCAGGCTAATTTTGGCGTCGAACTGGAGGAGGAAACAGGATGATTAAGAAGACTGACAAATGCATGCAAGTTGTAACTTGGTGTGAATTTGCCGCCTGCTCTATAAATTATCCCAAGAAGACTTCCCCAGAACTAACTCAAGTACAAAAAACGAATAGTTTAACTTCACAAAAAGACAAAGTACGCCAATGCGCTCGGCCTCATTTATGCCCATTTATAGTATTGAACTTACTTTCGCTTTCTATTTCCAGGTCAATACCAGTTCCTGGGGCAATACTATCACCTTCAAGAAATGCAGGTCGGTCCTGTTCGTCTGAAAATAAAAAGCGCATAGTGAAATCGCCGGTGAAAATGGCGACAAGAAATAATTATCAGAGGTGATTCAGCACAAAGACAGAAGTCAGCGAAGGGCTACTGACGCCCTTTATCCTCTACGCAAAGGTACAAAGTACCAATTATGGTAAAAACTGCTGGGATATGTGAACTGCCTTCAACTCTTTCAGCTTAATTCCGTGTCTAGGACTGCTGCCTAAAGGGTTGGAGGAGGACATACAAAGTGCTCCATTCACATTCCGAATACTTTTTGGATCCAGTCGCCAAATATCTAGCAGGACACACACGCAAAGGGAGCATCTAAAGTTCACCGCCTGCAAAATATCCGACATCGAAAAAAGGTGGAAACAGCACCTCAGGAGGGCTGAGGATATGGGACTACGTACGCGTGCACCCCATTTTCGCTCTGCACACCTCTTCAAGGATCACTGGAAAAAAGTCCATTCACTTCTATTATGGTAAATCGTTACTACGCTGTAAACGTCCTCGCAGAGGACAACGAAGACAATGCATGTGCAGTCGTGTAGCGGTCGCTCTTCTGCTGAGAAGTCTTGCTCATGAAATGACGATGTACGAACCCAGTCTATCGGCCGAAGGCAAGTACTACAGTTTCATCAGCAAGAATTTGATCTTCAAATACTTAGAGCAATACTTGGCCGGTATGAATTTGAAACCGGCATACACAGCAGAATATATTGGTAGTAACAGACTTCGCGGCGGCTTATCAACCGCAACATGTCGCTGTATAACACAAATAACGAAAGTGAAAGATACAGCGATTTGGATTTCTTCAGAAAAATCAATGCAAAACAGCAAGGTCATCGTTTACTGCACACACACTAATCAATGAAACTGGTTACTCAAAAACTCAATTTTCGAAAGGAAAATCGGGAAGATAACGCGCAGATGGCGTTTGCAGATTAAAGGACTGAAATTTATTAGGGCAAGTTGAGGACGACAGTGCAATCTGACCAATACAAATAGATAGACCTCGTGGTCAACCTTGTAGCTGCACAGCAGTGAGAATGTGTGTAGTCTGTGAGCTACAATTAGCATGTCAAATAACGTGTGGGAAGGAGAAGTCAGACTGTACCAGAATGAGGGTTTTTGTGTATACAAACCCGGAGTTGTCCGCTCGGGTGGACGTGGCCACTGGCGAAGCTAGGGCTGGTGTTGACTGCGTCCAATCATGTCTGAGAGTCCCTGGGACAGTGGTGGCAGCTACTTTTGTAGACTCGCGGGTCAAGCTCAAGTGGTGTTCGGGCAGAGTGTATTAGATTTGCCGAGGGGTGATGGCCCAGTGGCTTAGGTTGTGGTTGCAGGGGAACGGTGCGTTCGAGTTGCCTCATGGTCAGCTGCGGCTGTGCGGACTCAGGTATGCTTAAGCTGTCGGTCTTGTGACTTCAGGTCAGCGCATCTGGAACAGTCATTGCAAAGATTCAATGAACTTGAGGCGGCGAGATCTTGAACAATGACGCCAGACCGGTCATGATATTTGCTCGCTATAACCTCGACTTGCATAAGTAAATCTCATTCCTCCGATTTACATTGTCCCGAGTGCCAAATTTCCAATTTTTCTTTCCAAAATCGCGTTCGTAAGAAAACAATATTTACTGACTATTTCGTGTGTAATAAACGACGACCTTGCTGCTTTGTATTGGTTTTCCTGTAGCAATCAAAATCATCTAACCTTTCTTATCCGTTACTTGTGTTATGCAGCGACAGTTTGCAGTTAAAATGCCGTCGAGAAGTCTGTTACCACCACTCAATTTTGCTGTTTATGACTGTTTCAACTTCAAATACTTAGTGTTTCGGTAGTACCGGAAGTTAACCTAAGCAGAGACAGTCAAGCATCTCGCACGCTTACACTCATAGAACCACACTTAAAGAAAATGTAAGAGTTCAGGCTAGGAAAAAACACTTAGAGGAAGTGATAGTGATCCGAATACGATAAATATGGTCATATGGGGTTAAAGGGACGGCCCATAGCAAAGGCCATTGTCTCATGACAAAATGACGATACTGTTACTGATTATAACAAGATAAATTAAACGAGAAGAGGAGTGGGTTAAAAGGGACAAGAACGTAGACGAAAGTAAAAAAAAGGGTCAAGACATAAATATTGGCGGATACAAACAAAGATCACAATCGCAAAAATGGCCGACGAACAAATTTTAGGCAGTTTTAAAAAGTCAAAAACTAACCGTCAGACACCGCAAGACCCGCCTTAACCAACTTGAGAAGACGATTAGACGGACCACACGCATTTGAGGGGCTAACGAGGTTCATCAAATTCATTGCCAAGGTTTGATAGCCATCATAAAACAGTTGGCTGCAAAACTCAACAACGTTAAAAACAAGACACCTTATGATTAGACGATAAAGCAAATCCCTCTCCTTGAAAGACATGCCGCGAACAATAACTGACAAACTCTTCCTTAGAGCCGCCTGGATATCAGCTCATTAAAAAAAGAAAGAAGTAGACGGTAAGCATTTGTTCGTTCAAAATGGAAATGTGCTCTTGCATCAGAATCAAAACATCTGTCACTATGCGGGTACAAGGAGCCTACCGAAATCCCTATACTTCAAGTAGATTTTATAAAGTAGAAAGAACAATGGCCTTAGAACGGTCATTGTACGTATGCCACCATTGACCTACAACCAAAGTGAATTGGATTCTAAATGCATCTCCTGAAGGTCGTATGATGCGAAAAATCCATCAAATGCGAAAATGGTATTTTCGGATGAGTCATGATCACAGATGTTGCCAGTAGAATTCAACAACCGAACTAAATCTGTTTCGTCCCAATTATAGGCAATTGCGCGCCGGTCTCATGCTAACCTACAGCATTGTCAGACGCCGCGAGTATGCCCTTGACTTTGGTGAATTCTTCGAATTCACCGGGACTAACCGCCTGTGTGGTCATCCTTTTCAACTGCAGAAAAAGCTGGCCCACACTGACATCCAACGGAACGCCTTCTCTCACAGGGTCATTGGGGGATGGAACGGACTCCCTGAGGCGGTAGTTCTTTCCGAAACTGTCGAATGCTTTAAGTGTAGACTTGATGCTCATTTATTGAGAAACTACTGTACATGTAACCACGATTGTTTTAACGGCGGCCGTTTGCGTCTGGATCACACTTACCGTTAACTTTTGAATTTCCAGATATGGGGGTGAAACAGTTGATGCTACTTTTGTTTATCGACATGAATAGGGAGCTCAAGGGCGAAGGCCTCATTCCCTTAATAAACTGACTTTAACTGACTTAACTGTGTCATAATACAGTCCCAGTACTTTTGCTAGGACCTAATGTGTTCCCCATTGTTTCTTTCCTAATGAGTGCATGAGTACCGTTCAGTGATGATGTTCCATTTGGTGTCCCTAAGTTTGTTTTAAATCAAAAGGTAGTGCACACGAGCATGGATGACATTGAGGCTTACCAGATGACAAGTTACAGGCAACTACAAGAGTCTTTTTGTTGGCAAAAAAGGTAGAAGTGTCTGCCTCTAGTATTTTGGGCTATGTTAGCCTTAGTGCAGTTCCAGCCAGCTAAGCCAGTAGCGAGGGTTTTCAAGAGAACATGTTGGAATCGATTGACGATGCCTCAATCGCATTTAAGCTATCCACCTCTGGCATGTGCGGCGCGCCAGAAACCGTGTAATCGTGGCTCACAAATGGTCGGGTCATGTGGGGGCGAAGCCTCCAGTTCGGCCAATCACAGGCGTCCAAAAATGTTGTCATCAATCAGCAAATTCGCCGACTGGACGTTGATTGACTCTTCCATGACGTTTAGTCCCTCATACCGACGACAATCTTGGAGACAAGTATCGACAGGCTATCTTCATCTGTCAAGAGAAATCAAGTCTTGCTGCGGTCATATGTGGGGTTCTCCTGGGAGTCAGTACTGGGACCAACTGTGTTTCTAGAAAGCTTGAGACTTTCAGTAAGAGATTTTAAAATGCGGTGCAGCAATGAATGCTGATATGAAAATTTGGAATGCGGCGGGAGTTTTGCCCACGAAGAGAGACTGTGGATTAACTAAAATCTTTTGAAGAAGCGGTCAAATTGTTGACTCTTGCTTATTAACATCGGCTAATGTACCATAATTCATCTTGGCAACATGATGAAATCTACCAGCATTTAATTTTGATTTCTTAACGGCCCAGCCTTAGGACATGTGGAACTCCGAAAGGATCCAGGTGCGTCGAAGAAAAACTGCTTCAAACCGTCCACTCATTACTCGAGATTACTATAAAGCGCGATGCGGGTGTTGCACGCCATCAGAAGTGCCTTCCTGGATTTTAATGGAAGTAAATTTCAGAAATTTTCGGAAAACTCTACAGGCCGCATTTGAAGTACGCTACTTAAGCCTGAAGATCGGAGGTAGCGTAAAAATCAAAATAGGCTGCAGAAAAGTTAACGGGGAGCTACCAAAATGATTAAGAACAGGGCTTCTTGACCTAACCAACCCGCTTAAAAATCGAAAGCCTTTCTTTTGAGTTATAGGCGAATGAGCGGGGATCTATTTGAGCATTTCGCATTGTGAAGAGTTTGATTCGTAGCCCGACTCTTGACGGCTATTTTGGATTTGTTACCATGACCAACATCCGGGCCACCCACTAAAACTGCGCGATCAGCAGACAGGGCTGAATGTCTGCATGATTTCTTTTTCTAGCAGAGTGGCCAAGCATGGAATGCACTCCCTAGATGTTATTTTATCGCCATCAACAGAAAACTTAAAAAAAAACCTGGACCGATTTACGTTCCAAAATGAGCCGGAACGATGAAAGGCTCAAGCCCAAATTGTCATATTTTTGGAGTCACTTATGAAATGTTTCAGTCCATATGGTTTCTCCGTGTACTTTACCCAATCTTGCGCTACCAATATGGTATTCAAAGACTCACGCATATTTCGCTCAAAAAATTAAACTGAGATAAATTTGGTTGAGAGTTAGCGCAGACCATAAGCTTACGAGAAACGTCTCCTTGTTGGGGACTTCTAAGCGTGTATTTGAATGCGTTTCATTTGTCCAGATTTTCTGCCATCAGTAACTTGACTTCAGCTGGGAACCTTCTGGAATTTACCCAGAACACTCACTCTACGACAACTAATACCGGAGAGGCCGTCATTTTTCGTGAGAGTGTACAATTATTCATCTACTTGCTGCCGTTTTTGTAGTGAAGGAAACGCTGCGCTTTATGTTGTAATTTAGGTACTCAGAGACCTACTGCTATTTTCCTCAATAAACTGAACTGAACTGATCTTGTCAGATAGCCATAGTCCACCCGAGATATTTTGTTAGAGCAAGAGGATAGGCTTAATGGGCTTTTGGCTTATACTGTCACGTTCCTACTAGAAGATGGCTTAGACAGTTTCGTTGTTTTGTGTTTCCATTTCATTAGATGTCGTAAATCCTCGTTGACTGTTTTAGTGCACTACCATTATAATCTAGTTGAAGGCCCGCGTACTTCGTGCTTTTATGCGGCGTACCTCTTGGTGTTGTTTCTACGTGAGCCTGCCTCGAATTTTGACAGTAAGTGCATTTTATCTTCTACGTTATACTCACCAACACTTCTGATGCACTAACACTCCATTTTCCTCCGGTGTCCATGGACCTAATTTTCCTGTCCTGTTGCAGTGTGTCTAGTCTCCCTGCCAATTGGTCTTCGTGTTCCTCATAGGGAAAACGTCGTAAAGGCATACTTAGCCACTGTCATCTGCGATGTTTCTGCGCACTGTTATGCGTGGCAAGTTAAAACTTAAAGTAGCTACAATGGATGTGACATGCATGTTGTTTCGTAGATCGAACTACAATCACTGAATGTGCATTCTTAAGGGCTATTGTGAACCGCGTGGCATTACCGAAGTACAGTGGGCGCCTGCGCGATGACAGATTAGTTAGATTGCGAAGTCAGGCACTGCATCGCAAATACAGCTCGTCTTCTGAGGATCTATCCTTCTATAATGTTGTCCCCTTCCCAATCGACTATATGCACCTAGTCTGACTGGTTGCCATGCTGAAACTGCTGCATGTTTGGCGTCTGGGCCGCAGCAAATCTTCCGTTTTATTTAACACGTCTATTAATTTCACAGTCACGACGTTCTCTGTATGCGGGATACGCAGACAACTGACCACAATGTCTTCCGGCTCACTAACACAATCATCCAGACTGGATCGGGCTTACCGGAATTAAGGAACGCTTCAACAAAAATGGGCTGTCCAACAAATGGATGGCTAACACGGGCAAAAATTTGCTACATGCATTGAACAGATAGTTGAACGCATATTTCAGGAATGGTTGATCCTGGTGGACTGTGTAGTTCATCGATCAGACCACGCTCAAGGCATAAGCACACACAGCTACCCTTGTTCAGAGGCTTGCTAATGCAAGTTGGAGGTAGTTGAAATAGCGTCCTTGGGTTTTTGGGTACTTCTGAGTGGTAGAGCCACAGCATCCGAAACATTTCGTTGTAGATAGTGGCAGATAATGCAGAATTTCTGCAAATCCACCAGAAAGCACTTGCCTCCAACTGCGTTCGCGCTCTCACTGATTTCTGCGGGTTCTACACTTTCCAGTAACTAACACACATTAGACGCATACCCGTATGTACTTCTGGGGTTAGCTCGGACATTTATACTTCCGGGGATTTGTCTACCACCGACAACGTAGAAGGAACGAATGGAGCTTTCATCCGCGTATAATATGCCTTCTCACGTGAAGTCAGCTTGTAAATATTGTAACCTGTAATACTTATGCTTCATAATTGCTTCCAATGGATAGTGAAAACAGCATACAAGAGGCCTAACCGTACTTTTAACACCCTCTGGAATTAGAAGTTTTATCCGATTTATGCACCTATTTACAGTCGTATTCGCATAGACAGCATTCTTTATGGCATGACCTAGACCATAAAGGCGTAATGGGAATAAAATAGACGCAGGACGACGCACCACTGTCAAAAGCGTTCGGAGGATAAAGAATCTGCAGTATCCACACCCTGCAGATCAGTTCACAAATCGTGTCAAAGTGGTTCACTTAAACAAGAGCGTCCCAATTAGTTCATTCAGGTATATTATCATCGCCCAAAAAGTGAGGCCTCAGCTCATCTTTTAGGTGACTTAAGGTACATTCAGATAGATGCAGTACATTTAAATGCAAAAGTTGTCATTTGAACGACTGAAATGCTTCCCAGAATTTCTTCGAAATTGGCGTAGCCATGGCCGCGTTTATCCACGCTTGACCAAACCCGCAAGGCGGGCCACGTTTTGGCAAGGTTCCTACGTTGCAAGCTAACGGCGAGCAAATACCTATGCGGCGGTGGTATATTCAGAAACTGTTGCAAACTACCTCGTCTACGTATTCCATCCATAAGCATCACTTTTCACATCCACAATAGGAATTACC